CGCCAAAAGGAATAAGAAATGATCACTGGCTTTTTTCTGGCAATGTTTAATGAATGGCTTACGCTAATATATTACTTCCATTCATTTTCCAACACCAATATAGGAAACCCTTACAATGTTTTCGGATTAGATATATTACTATTTTTATCGTTTAACATCAGTTTACACCCGTGAAGTCGGTGAGATTCACAGTTCACACCCATTATCAAAAAACCAACGTTGAACAGCGCGACAGCGACAATCGACTCTTGATTATTTTGTTTACAGCCGCTCTTTTGGACAGTGGATTTTCTTTTTAGGGTCCATTGCTACTCTGAGTCTTAATAACACTCCTAATCGTTTTGTAAACGCTTACATACACTGCCATACTTAAAGCTTTACCATAATTTGCCAGATCGAACTATCTATCGCAAGAATTCCATGCGAATTCAAGCGACAATTCACTTACCGTTTGGTAAAGCGAACAATGGCAAAATGCACAGAAGATAGCCGTTCATCTTGAAGAGCATTAAGTGAAAGCACCTCCGTCGGGATTGAAGTCAACGACAACCGCTAATGCAAGTAACCATATGGACTCGACAGGCGGAATCGGGAATTATCTTATTTTTTTGCGGCTTTCTAACACCTGTTGTAATGGAAAAGTTGATAAAGATCTCACTCCCATCAACCAAAACATTGTCAAAAACACGATTAACGATCTTATTGCTAGACGAGAATTACCGGCCACTGCAAAAAACTCACCATCACCACTACTAGAACTTCGTGTATTTACTTTTTACCTAAAATCCACAAACCTAACAACCCAGGTCGACCCATCGTCCCTGCCCGCAGTTGGCTCACCGAAATTGTTTCCAGCTATTTAGACAAAATTATGGCTCTTATCGTCAAAACTTTACCATCATATATTAAAGAAAGCCAACACGCACTTTAAATTTTTCACGACTTTAATTTCCTTGGCCAAGACAAAGTTATTTTCGCGATGGACACTACATCTCTTTATACTGTAATTCCCGATGGCGAAGGTCTCCTGGCCTTCAAACATTTTGAAGTATTTATTTTTTTATCAACGTACTGTTAAGGACTCTAACTCTAAAACACCACTAAACTGTTAACGGTGGCCAATTTACATTATCATCTCAGTTGATAATACAAAATTGCCTTGTTACATGTATACTCCACTGATGCAGCACCACAGTTTCTTTAGAAACTTACCGCCTTTTTATTTATCCAGTAACATAATGCCTTGTTCAATGATCTGACCTGATCTCGAAATCGCGCTCATCGTAAAACCACCGCGTTTCCTTCATTGTATTTTCACATAATTGTCCCAATCGTCCCAGAATACCTTTTTTTGGATGCCTAAAACGACACAGAATATTATATGGAAACCAGCCATAAGTATATAACAATAACTTTTACGAGAAAAACGCCTCGTGAAGATCGAAATCGTTAAATTCAGTTCAAAATTTGTATCTGACTAATAGGAGGCAAAGTTTTTGATTAATCCTTATCTCAAGGATATGAGGAATTAAACAAAGGTCTTTTGACAAACGTACATAAATTTTGTTGTTCGGCTTGCGGTGAGAAGTCAAAGCTGTCACAAGATAATGCAAAGAGAAGATGTCACATGATTACTCTTAGCAGCGTACGAAAGGTTAACTTGAGTATCTATGCCCAAATCCGCTCAGTAAATAACGGGTAAATAATCTTCCCCCAGAAAGCACGCTGGTAATAATCAAAGTCGCACCAATTGAAGCACAAATTGAACCTCCCTTGTTCGTAGGGGGGATCATTATAATATTACAGAGCCTCATAGAAGGATCAGGTTAATTTTACTGTGACGTTGCCAGAATCCTTCGACCCCTGCATTATAACCAGGCATTCTTAAAATCGCTAGCACCTTTTAGCACCTGGTAAACCTTGTTTTCAGCAACTCTTATAATGATCACTGCTCAAAGTCAGTACACAAAAAAAAGCACATAGAGGGCACTTGTAAAGGTGGTGGCGAATGATACAACTTTTTTGTATGCTGGTAAGGCGTTTACGCTTGACGAGGTGCTGTCTGCAAGCCCATTGCACTTGTTCTGTTCACAGCACGTGGCCTCGCATTTTTCATAGATTATTCCAGGTTGCAGTTGCGAGGCATTGCAAGACTTTGCCTGGAGGTCTTGGCACATTGACTGTGTAAAGATTGAAATAAGAAAAAATAAAATATATGATAGCAATGGTCGAAAAGAGTTTTTTCTTGAACATTTTTATGGATTAAGCTGAGAGAAGGGTGGGGGGGAAAGAAATTGTCAAAGCTTTCGTGTCACTACCCATCATTTCTGGAAAAGAGGAAACAGTTTATCATAAAACAAATTTCGTTTGTTTGCAACCTGTTAGATTAAAATTATTATTGTACTCCCCATCCCACCCCTTGCTCTTACATTGAAACACTTATCCAAGCTTCTGAATTAGTTAATTGCAACGAGATTTGTGCGAGAACCTTGATTGTTTACGGGTGATTCATTTCTTTGCCTAGATTGATGCACAAGAAATTATTTCAGAATAGTTTCAAACTGTGTCGAAATTCTAAATTAAACTGGGACTGTTTTGAAATTGTTCCACACCATCACAGAGGCGTAGTTCCACGTGTCTTACATGAGAGTGGCCTACACCGCTCCTCTTTCATGTGTAGCATTGAGCTCGAGTTCATCTGAGATCACGCGGTGAGAAGGACAGGTAAATGGGGTACCTAGAACCTCATAAGGTCTATGCCATGAAGATTCTTCGGATTAGCACGCTTTCGCGAACCTGAATTACAGAACTGAGATTTTTATGAAATAGACTGAAAGCCCAACCTATC